TCCCTTCCTCTCTGTAAAAAATCAATAAAATATATTTTTAAAAAATTAAAACAAACAATAAAACTAATTATAAAAGAAGCTGAGGATGTTACCAGTTACTTCAAAGAGCTGTGAATGGCAGACGAGCACATGGAAAGCTGTTCAGCGCCACTAAAGAGGAATCATTAGTGAAATGCAAGCTGAAGGTCGCTCGGTTAGTTAGAGCATCATCCCAATGTACCAAGGTTTCGGCTTCGATCTTGATCAGGGCACATATAAGAAGCAACAATGAATGCATAAGTAAGTAGAACAACGAATTGATGTTTCTCTCCCTTTCTCTCTCTCTCTCTCTCTCTCTCTCAAATCAATTAAAAAATGCAAAATGGCCGAAACCGGTTTGGCTCAGTGGATAGAGCGTCGGCCTGCGGACTGAAGGGTCCCAGGTTCGATTCCGGTCAAGGGCATGTACCTGGGTTGCGGGCACATCCCCAGTAGGAGATGTGCAGGAGGCGGCTGATCGATGTTTCTAACTCTCTATCTCTCTCCCTTCCTCTCTGTAAAAAAATCAATAAAATATATTTTTTAAAAAAAATGCAAAATGGAGCCACAATGAGGCATAACTACATACCTAGGAAACTGGCTAAAATTTTAGCCCTGGCCGGTGTGGCTCGGTTGGTTGGAGAGTCCTCCCATGAACCAGACGGTGGCCGTTTGGTTTCCAGTCAGGGTGCAGGTTCAATCCCCGGCTGGGCCACCTCTGGGAGGCAGCCAATCCGTGTTTCTCTATCTCTTTCTCTTACATATAACCCAGCCATGATTCCTAGGTATTTACCTCAATAAATTTAATTTCTAGGTTTTTTTGTGTGTTTTTTTTAAAAATATATTTTATTGATTTTTTACAGAGAGGAAGGGAAAGAGGTAGAGAGCCAGAAACATCGATGAGAGAGAAACATCGATCAGCTGCCTCCTGCACATCTCCTACTGGGGATGTGCCCACAACCAAGGTACATGCCCTTGACTGGAATCGAACCTGGGACCCTTCAGTCCGCAGGCCGACGCTCTATCCACTGAGCCAAACCGGTTTCGGGGAGAGGTGAAACATTGATGTGAGTTTGAAACATTGATTGGCTGCCTCCTGCACGCCCCCTAACAGGAATGAAGCCAACAACCCAGGCATGTATCCCGACCGGGAATTGAACCAGCAACCTTTCAGTGTACAGACGGGTGACGCCCAGCCAACTAAGACACATGGGCCTGGGCAGATTTTTGGTTTTGGGGTTTTTTTTTTAGAGAGAGAAATATCACTTTGTTGTTGCACTTATTTTTTTTGGGGGGGGGGGTGAGGCTATTAAAGTTTATTCCCATTGTGGTGATAATTTAGAATTATAACACTACACTTTAAGGTTGAGTACACTTTTTTCCATTAAACATTTATTCTTAATTATACTAGTAGTTTACACACATATTATATTAGTTTCAGCTCTACAACATAGTGATTCAACATTTATATACCTTACACTGCAA